CTTGCCAGGCAAGCGCTTATTCTACAGAGCTATCTCCCTAGCCCCTTACATATATTATTAATAAAGCATAAGACCAAAGTAGGGAAAAGGCACAACAGCATGATGTGTTCTGTGTTTAATATTCTACTGGTCTTGCTCTGATAGGGCCAGCATGAACTTATGGACACAAGTACTGGACTGACAGCAAGAGAAGTGGGCTCTGGGCCTGCCTGTTTGGTGGGATGCTCTTTTAGGCTTTTTTAATGCTTTTCTCTGGAAGATGTTTCCTAAATCTATTCCAGTGGTAACAGGGCAGAATCCTCATTCACATAAATTTCAGTATTTCTTTGCTTAACGTGTATGTTATTTTTCCTTGTAGTCATAACTATATATATTCTAGCGGGAGGATGTTGATAAGTTAGGAATGATCCAGGAAAGGTCTTAGGCTGGGAAGAGAAGCTCTGTCATTCTGCAAACCATAGGGCTACTTGTTCTTGAAGGAACTGTCTCTGATAAATCAATGTATTACAAAGAACAAAATTTTATTAAACATATAATACATGCCAGGCATGTGCTAATTAAGACCAATATGGTCCTTACCTGACTGGAACTTTCCTTAGTGAAGGTCTGAGGCCTCTATGGTGTTTGGAAAGGCTTCTCACTGTTATTAGTCATCTTACTGAGAGTTCATTCATTCATTCATTCATTCATTCATTCATTCATTCATTCATAGGCTTGTGGAGTTATTCATCTTGCCATTCATTCATATTTCCACAAACACTTTTGCTTTATTAGGAGACTCACTAGTGAATGGATTATAGTCTCTGCCTTCTGGGAGTTAGAGCCACTAAGTGAAGCTAAGGGCTGTATCCAGGCTCACTACTAAATTAGCTGTGTAATATGGATTTGAAACAGCAGTTCCCAAGGTAGAAGCAAGGTCTCTAATGATATTTGTTACATCCTTACGTTCTGCCTCTAAGAGGTGCACACTAGGGAAGGCGGAGAACATACAGACAATCACAGCTCAGTGTGGTCTGCTCACTGAAAGCAAAAGCTATAGTAATAGGGACACTTACTGTGATTTTGACAAAGTGCTAGAGCCTGAGTGTCCTGTCTGGGAAAGACACTATTACGATTTCTTCATTTAAGAACTCCATTAGGTTCTCATAGGGTCCAATACAATAACTGTGGGGCTATAGCTGAAAGAGCTTCCAGTCGGAGATTATTGATGGAGAAGTTTAGAGGGAAGCCCAAAGATGCCAGAGGGGCCAAAAATAAGGACAGTGAAGGAATCTGAAGCCTCTTGACCAACAGCAGGGGTAAACATTCAACATGGTCCAACTTCTGCCTAGATTAGCACAGGAAGTCATGCTAAAGGCCTGCTTACTTTGATTCCTATCATGTGATACATCATGCCTAATTTTCAACAAAATGTTACAATACAAGCAGAAAAGACAACCTGAAGAGACAAAGCAAGTGCCAGAATGAGAAAGATATGGTTCAGATTTTAGAATTACCAGACAGAGAAAGTGACTACAATTAATTAACATGGTAAAAATACTGTAGAAAAATAAGACAACATACAAAAATAGTTGGGCATTGTAACAAGGAAATGGGGACTGTATGAAAAACTCAAAAGGAAGTGTTGTAAATGTAAAATAGTGTGACCAAAATGAGGAATGCTTTTTATGGTTCACCAACAAACAAGGCATAGGAAGAGGAAAGAATCAAGGAACTTAAAAGTATGTGAACAGAGACTTCTCAAACTAAAAGACAGAGAGATTGAGAGGAAACCAATATAATTCAGTAACTATGGGATAATTTCAAAGGGTAAAAAATATACATAACTGGAATGCTAGAAAGGGAAAAAAGAGAAAACATGGATGAAATATTTGAAGTATCGGTGGCTGAAATTTTCCAAAATTAATGTGTCATGGTTTACATCTAAAATGTTTCCTGTTGCTCATATGTTCAGAGATCATTCTTTTGGAAGGTCATGGGATTATAAGGCTATGTTCTTCAGTGCATTAATCCATTAGTGAGTTCATGTACTATTCTGTGCTGGGGCCTGGTTGGATGTGGGCCGATGGGGGTGTGGCATGGAAGGGTGTGTTCTTCTCCCCAGCTCCTCCCTTCTGTCCCTGCTTCCTAGCTGTCATGGATGGAGTAGATTTTCCCTGCCATGTCCTTCCCGTACTCAGAGCAGGCAACTTTGGATTGAACCTTCAGAAACTGTGAGCCAAAATAACCTCTTTTCCTTTTAAGTTGTCGGTGTCAAGTATTTTGTCCCAGAAATGGGAAAGTGACCAACACACAATGACAGGTACCACACCACATATCCAGGAAACTTAGAAAACACCAAGTAAAATTAGTACCAAATCTACATCTAGCATATAAAACTCAAACTGCAGAAAACTAAAGAGAAGAGGAAATCTTTAAAGAAATTGGGAGTAAGGTGAACAACTTACCTGTATAAGAATAAAGAGAAAAATTACATCAGGTTTCTCTTTAGAAACCATGCAAGCAGAAAGAGAGTATAAGATAAAAAGTCTCAAGATAAAAGCTACCAACCTAAAATGCTAAATCCAGCAAAGTTATTCTTCAAATGTGAAAGAGAGATAAAGACATTCTCTG